TCTTATTCATAAATTAATTGAAAAAAAAAAGGTTTCTATTGAATATAAAATAAATATGGTTAAAATATTAAAGCAAAATAATTCAACTTAAAATAAATTGACCATTTTAGATATATTGGATAATTTGTTTATCACGCAATTATATGAATTATAGTTAACTGAAAATATATGAATCAATGTAAATTTTCAACAAAACTTCATTCATTCTAATTTATTGGCATTTAAATGAGATTTCCATTGTGAGGGTGTTGATTGACAACTCAATAAGAACTTGTTGACAAGGTAAAGAGTGTATGTTGACAACTAAATTTATAAGAGAACATAACCTTCACAAATAATCACATTATAATCAAATAGTATTATATAACAACTTTTAATATGAAATCATGCATGATCAAAGCATTCACATTAATATTATATGAAATGATGTGTTTATAACAATATTTTGTTACAGAGAGTCATTGGCAAGTTCAAGATCATGGGTTAATAACTCAATGGGAATCTGTTAACAAGTTAGGAAGTGTACATTAACAGTTAAATTTATGGGATAATATAACCTTCATATAATGTCAACTTATAACCATATAGTATTATATAACAACTTTTAAGCTAAAATCATGTGTGAATAAAGCATTCATATTGATATTAGACAAAATGATGGGTTTATCACAGAATTTTGTTGCAGATAATTATTGATAAGCTCACAAGCTTCGATTAACAATGTAATGGGAACCTATTGACAAGTACAAATGTTGAATTTGAAAAGTGCCGCAAAATGTAAATATGACTTTATATCATATTACTTTCATGTGTCATGTACAAATAACTAAGATAAACATGTGCAATGTGATTACACCAAATTAACAAACTATCCAAAAAATCATACAGGTTGCATGTCTATCTAATGACTCCTTAACTTGAGGTGTATGTAATGATATTTACAAACAAAAAATGTCACATGCATTAAGAAGAAAACATAAAGAAGCCACAAACATAGCACAACTTAGATTGGGGTTTTTGCAAGTCTTTGTAGTGTGGCAAGGCTCATGACATCTTCCACAATGATAAATCTTTTTGTTTTGAAATTAAGATTCAATCTTTTTTTCCTTTGGCTTTCTCGAGGGATTTTTAGTGGTTGGTGGCCGTATGGATGTTCTTTTTATTATCAAACATAGCGCAGCTTAGATTAGGGTTCTTGCAAGTCTTTGTACTGTGGCAAGGCTCATGGCATCTTTCACAATGATAAATCTTTTGTTTTGAAATTAAGATTCAATCTTTTTTTTCTTTGGCCTTCTCGAGGGCTTTTTAGTGATTGGTGGTCGTAAGGATGTTCTTGTTATTATCAAACATAGCGCAGCTTAGATTAGGGTTCTTGCAAGTCTTTGTATTATGGCAAGGCTCATAGTATCTTTCACAATGATAAACCTTTTTGTTTTGAAATTAAGATTCAATCTTTTTTCCTTTAGCCTTCTCGAGGGCTTTTAAGTGATTGGTAGTTGTAAGCATGTCCTTGTTGTCATCAATAGCATAGTCAATGTATTTGTACCTTTGAACAAGTCTTCCATCCTGTAGAATAAGATAAGGGCTTGTTAATGATAACTTTTAACCATGGAAATAACAACCCAAGCAGCAACAAATTACATGATCCCCAATATATACATGATCACTTTCTCCATTAAAGTTAATTAAATATTTCATATCTTCATCATCTACAAGATCAACAAATGTATACTCATCAAAGGTAACTGTGAATTTCATAACAATTTGACTCCTTATTTTTCCTACCATTGGTGCTATCATTACTCTAAATTCTTTATATATTGTGCCTTCATTTAACATTTTTGTTCTCATAACACCTCCAACATATTATATTTCATTTTTTTGGCCATTAATAAATTGTCCCTTATATGAAGGAAATAGAATAAACGCTACTTACTTGAACGTATCATCTTTCATATGAGCCTGTGACAAATACTTGTCGTTGACAAGTAAACCAGTTACATTAACAACATTTGATGTCTCTATTAATAACATATTTTTCCTCCACATAATGGAGGTTCTAACAACAAAAGTTTGTAATATTGACTCATTTTCACCAATAATTATGAAAAAATAAAGCATAAATTTGTAGCCCTACCCACAGGTCATCAAACCACACCTAAAATGATTAATACCACATATGATTAAAATAGGTAACCTTTGATAATTCATGTGAGCTCAATCATATTCTCAATAACCACACACCCACACCCAATCAAACTTTCAAGGACTGCGAAAAATAAGTAGATAAATGCTATTAATAATGAGACATACAATGAAGATGAAGCAAAACTACAGCTTCTTTGAAATAACGGAGATGATCAAGATGGTTGCAGAACTCCTTTCTTTCTTTGCCATGCTTCTCTCCATCACCCAGCAAAAAAAAAAAAAAAAAATTGCAAACTGAACCCTCTTCCCATCTCTTTTGCTTTCTCAATCAATGAGGACGCAATCATCTTTTCATAATTGTAATGTTTTGCTTTGAGGTCGTTGGGAACTTAGGACTAATTTTAGGATTTTAAGGACTTTAGATAAATAAATTGTGTTGTTTGGGATTTGTGTGTAATATATTAATATATAAAAGTATAGTACAAGACAAGAGTTACTGGCAGCACGACACATGGCATCATCTATGAGTAGATAAATGTTCTTTTTTTAAAAAAAAAATCCCACTTTTTTTAACCATTTTCTACCCATGTTTTAAAAACTGATTCAAATCCTAACACTTGTACGTGTGTGCCTAGAGGGATTGTGTTTGGTTTAAACCAACAAACCCAAAGTTTCTTATGTTTTCAAATTATTTTATATGATCGTGGGTATTCAATTTGGAAGTTTTTGTTTGGAATTATGCAATCTTGTCATATATAAATATATTCACCAGTTTTTGGGGACGAACTGCCGTGTGGCTTGATTTAGATATGAGTATACCTTATATGATTATAACTGATTAATTTTGCTTGATTTAAATATGAGTATACTTGATATTTAGGTGGTGAATATATTTATCTTTTTGGGTATATATCTAAATTAACTGAGACCAACAGACACAGAATTTCTTATTTTTTCAAATTATTTTATATAATCATGGGTATTCAATTTGAAGGTTTTTGTTTGAAATTATGTAATTTGAAAGTTTGTGTTTGAAATCTAAAACACGGTTATGTCACTTAATATCTAAATTGGCCACTTAGTATTTAAACTGATTTATAGATTGATAAATTATAGGAAGAGTTGTATTCACTAAATCCAGAAAGGTGTGGCAATTTTTTATTATATATTTATGGGCATCATCTATGAGTAGATAAATATTCTTCTTTTTTAATTAAAAAAAAAGCCCACTTTTTTTAACTATTTTCTACCCATGTTTCTAAAAGCAGGAGTTGCTGGCAACTTGACACGTGGTGTCATTAATGTGTAAATAAATTGTCCTCATTTTTTCCTTTTTGTAAGAGCCACGATTCTCCTCATTTTCCCCTATTCATGCGTTTATGTTTCTATTCATGTTCTCCTATTCATATGTTTTTGTTTTTGGCAAATTATTCGCAGAAAAAAATTGGTACTTATAAAACTTAAAATTTAAAACATGATCTATCTCACAATTATTTGGTGGTTAGTTACAAGGTAAGGTTGCAAGCCAAGGTGTGAATGTTGATCACTAGAACACATTGTTCCAAGTTTTATGGCTTTGTTATCGGCAGTTTTTTTTATTCCAATTAAAAAATACTTCCGGTTTAAAATTAAATTCAATAATCTTAAAAAAAAAGCTCTTAATATTTCAAACTTGAAATTAAAATTAATAGTTCATAAAAAGTGGTTATTTGCCCCCCAATTACATCATTTTGAATTTACAAATATATTTATAAAATTAAAAAAAATAATGAATAGAATTATATGCCATGTTGTTACGTTTTTGGGTGAAATTTTCTGAGGTTGGTTACTTTTTTAGATTTCAAATCAATATTTCATATTTTAAATTCAAATTAATATAAATCTTTAAAGTGGATATGAAGTTTTACAACATTCAGCCTTCATCAACGATCAATAATCTTCTACAACGTGCCACGTGGCAGGTTGTAATCTTAGATTAATAGAGGATTTTTTAATTAAAAAAATGAAAATGGGAGCAGTTCCTGTTGGTATTCTATATTTTAATTGAAAGTGAAGATTGGGAGTAATTTCTAATGTTGTGAGTTTTGATCATTGCACCCACATTGCACCGTATTCTAAGGCTTTGTTCTAGGCAATTTTCTAATTTCAAATTAATATTTCATATTTTAAATAAAATTTAATTAATAATTCAAATTTTAAATTTAAATTAATATTTCAATTAAAATTAACATTTCACAAAAAGCGGCCATTGTTTGGATTAATTAGATTGACCTTAAAACTAATTCCTTTCAAGTCTGAAACAGTTAAGAAATAACCCTCTCAATAAGTATACTTCCATTTGGAACTTAAACTTGTGTTTCTCTTCCTTGTTATGAAAGTGAGACCACTACCATTTCAACCAACAATATTAATGGTAAATACTTTTAACTCTTTCTCTGTTTTTTTTTTTTTACTTTTTTTTTGACCGAGGTAAATACTTTTAACTCTTGCACCATCGCCGTTTTAGTTTCTTGCATTGCAAGTCTACTTGAGTTAATGATAACCCCCAGTTTACCTCGAGAAAGCAACCATCACAATCAATGCTGTGTTTAAAGAGGAACTTGAAAATTTGAATTGATAACGTCTAACAAGGACCTAATTAATCAGTTATCAATGTTTTAGTTAGAATTTACTTTGAGAACAAAAACTCTAAATCTAGATAATTATAATAGTAGTAAAAAATTTTAAAAATGTTTTACAAATACTTGGAACACTGGAAGACATCAATAGCAAAATTATATCTATGATTATCCGACACTCTCTCAGAATCATTCTCACCTTGATTGAATTCCTTTTCATTATAACACCAGAGATGCCAAAATGGATGTTTATTTAATACTACCTCCGTTTAAGAATCAATTGAAAGCATATGATTGCAATATCCACAATTTTGTTCCTTAGAAGACAAAGCACCAAGGCATTTCAAAAAACATTTCTGAGACTGTTAATAATTTACACGGCATTAGATGCAAAGAAGTTAAAAAACGGGTAGATCTAATTTATTAGAAACAGGGTCAAATCCAAAAGAAATCAAATGAAGAAGGATCTAGTCAAAACTACAAAACTAACCTAAAGAAGCAAGGCTTGCCTTTTCAGCTAAATTATCGCCTCAACCTTTGTGCTGATAAAGATTTTCTTCTCAAAATGATCTCAGCTGCCCAACTTTTTCCTATTTGGGTCTGAAATTTCCCTGAAAGCCATTTAAAAAACCAAGATTGCTTTGCATCAAATAAGGATCAGAATGTTTGACAGAAGCTCAAACGAGTTTTTCTTAAAGGGGAAAAAACTGAACAATTTTTTGAAAATGGAAATCAAACATGCCCTAGATCATCCTAATTAAAACTCAAATGACTCAATAGTTTTCTTGAGTACAATTGAGAGACTAAATGTACAATAAAGTCATGAAAGGAAATAAGTACTTCTTTTAGACAGTATACCTGCTGTTGAAATGAAAAATTCATCCAGCACCTTCCCATGTTCTGCCACACAATACAACAAAACTGAGATACTTGCCATTACGAAACATGTCAGATAGAGTATATCATAAGGGTAACATTGACTTTATGATTTATAAACACACACACATATATGTTAATGCAAGACGAAATTTTATTAGCAAAAAAAAAAAAAGAAAGCAGAATTTTTTACAACTACCAGTAACAACAGTCTTTTCCTAAGATCATTTACCACAACTCACCCATTTCATATTCCAATGCTTGCAGAATCATTTCAACCTGATCAAAATTCAGAGGAAAGAAGTTCAATTAGAAGATAAACGCAAACTCCGCAGATTAAGACTATCATACAGAAGTAATGGACAACCGGTGCATGAAGCTGGAAGGGCCAGACCCCTTTTGGGTTAACGGTAAGCAGCTTTCCATGCATTGTTTGCAAGAGGCTGTTTTCACAACCTGACCCATGTCCACTAGGTCATGCAGTGACAACTTTACTGTTGTGCCAAAAACAAAATCTCTATGTGCTGGAACAAGAATTGTAATTTGCTATTGTCATGTTTCTTGATGTTAGGAAGCAACAATTCCTTATATTTGCTCAAATTTTCAATTCAGGGTTAGGCTTAGAGGCCCAGGAAAAAGTTAAGGCGACTTAGAGAAGTGAAGTTGCGAGAGTTCAGCACCTAAAGTTAAAGTTTTGTGATGCTACGCCATATTCCTCGATGTACTACTTATTATTCGTTCTCTCTATGTTTGCATATGCAGCATAATCATCATCTAAACAAATCTCCAGCTTGGAGATCCAGTCACACCCTTTCATCCAATAATATCACCCATCACCAATCACCACTGTTGCATATTGTTTACAGCCAGAGTAGCGTCCCTTTCAATGCAAAGAAAAGGTAGAAACAGAGGTAATGTTTTTTGCAATATTGCTCACGACTTTTTTTCCTGTCATTTTCATCTCTTTTTAATGCTTCATACTAAAGAAGAATATTTTCCAATAAAATATTTACAAAACCAGAAAGTGACTCAATTATTGATTCATCTGAAACCTTAAAAAGATGATAAGCTTTTTTCTTTGCAAGAGATGGAGTTTATATTAATTAGTTGGAAATTAGAATGTGTGTGGGAAGTGTAGACAACAGTTGCTAATGGGACACAACTACAAACCGGTATAAATCTGAAACAAATAATTTTTAAGGTTTTTGAGCCTTATGACTCGGTAAACAACCAGATGAGATCAGAAGAATGCGTTCTAAATGGAAGTTCTAAACCTAATTTTATTCACAACTACCAGATATTACGCAAAAGTATTCAGATATAGACACGTGTATATTTGCATATACACAAATGGTGATAGTAGCATAGGGTTTTTCTTTTCTATATGATCAATTTTCAATCCAGAAGAACAATTAGGCATCAAACTTGTATTTTTGATTCAGACAATATTCATTACAAGCAAAAGAAGATTAGACATCGAGTACAGTCTCTCTTGTTTGGGTCTGAGAGCTACTGCGTTACAGGCGATATTATTGACTACAGCATTTAATGAATTTAGATCATAAAATGAAGGGTGCAATATCTTTGTTTGAGCTCCTATTCTTAAATTCTAAAATCTGTGGCATTTTGATAACTTTACATTATTTTATCAACCTTTTAGTTGTCTTTTGTTTATCTACTAAATTTAGATTTCTACAATTTTTCCTGCTGCTCTCAACTAGACGGTCAAGCAAAGGTCATATAAAAGGTCGCACACATACCTTGTCAAAATCTTTAACAAGATTGGCCTCTAAAGAGGAGTTGTTTTCATACTCCGCCCAAAGTTCTTTAATCTCTTCAGCTGCAAATTACAAGTTGGTTCTTGGAATAAAATAGATCCAGAAATAGGAAACTCAAAACGAAAATGTTCTTGAAAAAATGGACATGAAAATACCTCTCATCCCTCCGCCAAGAATTTCACACATTTCGTTCAAAGCTGCCTGCTCCCTTCTGCTCTTTTCTTCTTTGGGCACACCATCAGATGGTGTTATATCTCCAACAATAGCTATTAAATGCAAAATAAAACTCAGCCTTTATACCATTTCTGTTCATGTGCACAAGATGCATAAGCCCATTTCTGTTCAAGAGTACACAAAAGAAATGGGGTGGGGAGCCGATGTACAAGTCAGTACAAAATCTATGGGCGAAAGTAACATAAGCCAACGCTTGTCAGTGGAAATTTGTCAAATGCATGAATAATTTGTCTAGTGAGAATCAACAGTATAATACTTTTTTTTTTTTAAGTAATGTTTATCCTTGTATTCCAGTAGGATATTTCGGGCAGTTCAATTATTGAGAAAGCAAAGTCATCAATTAACAGTAGTTACCAAGTGAAATTAAATATAAGAAGCTATCCATCCATCTTGTTGAATTAAGTTGGAGAACAGGATGGTCAATCACAAGAGATCAACACATCCTTCACAAGCACACGTTGTTAAAGCCATCTGTTGTAGCAGTGTAGGAGGCAATCACATTAGAGGAAATGTGTAAAAACTTCATATACACCAAACAGAGTAAGGGAATCATCTAGTATAAAACTTGAAAATTTAAAAACAAGCAACTTCAGTTACTATATAGTTAAAAATTACCTTCAGCAATATCATGCACTAGCGCTATTTTAATACATCTGCAAAACAGAACCGAAGGACATCATCAGAAAATTAAGGAAAATTCATCCGAAACCAAAACCAGGAAATATGAATAGCAGAAAGAAGGGCATGTGAACACAGAAGACAATTATTAAAAACGGTGATGCTGAATATTCATTTCTTGCTCTTCAGGACCAAAAAAAGGGGAAACAAAATACATAACAAGAAAAGAGAAGAGTATATAACTGCTTTCCCATAAGCTTTCTTTTATTTAGGCTAGAATCTTGGCTACATAGCTTACAACATCTATACTGGTTAGAGATAAGGGATCTCAGGGACAGAAATATTTCTCTAACAATGATGTCCACAACTAAAACTAAAGCAATAAAATAAAATAAAAGCAGTTAGAAGGCCTAATTTGAGCAAGCATTTCAAAAGCCAAAGGAATAGTTGTTAATTAAAATGACTCGTGTTTAATTCAAAGGCCTCTAACAGAAAACTACATAGTTAGATTTGAACAAAATATACCAAGTCAAACAAATATCTGATTAGAATGGGTAGTAAAAGGTAATAATGAAAAATGAAAGGCCATGGGTTTATCGCCCAATATACCCAAATAAAATGTTTTCACTTGAGGCAGAGATGTCAAATGATTTTCTCCCCAGTTATTTAGCACTATTTAGCCCACATTGTCCTAACAATCTGATATTCTGACATCCTTATCTGACCATTTCACAAAAACCAGGGTACCTAAAACACTGCCATGCTCTTGATTCAAAGTCCACAAAGACACAAACAAATCTAAGAACAAATAAATCTTATAATAGAATAAAACAAGGGACTCAATTTTTTTAAACAAAGAAATAAATTCAAATAACAAGAAAAAGTCAAACCTTTCTCTGTTCAATCCAGGCAGGTCAGCAGCAATCAAAGCCATTATAGCCATGCGGTACATGTGGTCAGCAATTGATTCAGCACCCCTTATGCCATGATTGACCCATCCTTTCCTTTTTGTCGTCTACAAGGTTCGCATATATGGCAAAGAGTGATTGTGTTAATTATTCCATTTTGCATGTTAGAATTGTAATGGGCATGGGTATTTTAGGCAAACATGGTAGCTGGCCGAAAAAGCATCTGAGACCCAAAAGCACTTTGATGCATCCCAATTATACTCCTCTATGTTTGTGTCAAATTAGCAACTACTAGTAGCAAAAATACCTAGTTTCCCACTAGGCATGTTGATAGAAAAGAAAGAGAAAACCTATGATAATAAATTAAGAAAATATGTGCCAATAATTACTTGATCTTGGTCAAATACAAAGCTAGGAACACTAATGGAGGCCTAAACCCATGTCTATAATTCTTCTATGTTCAAACTATTCTTCTCCCATCTACCTTGGAACTAAGAGAATGATGCTCGAGTAATACGACTCCTGCTGTCTTGGTAACTGCAGGTTTACCTCCATTATTTAAAATTATCAACATTTTCTTAACTAGAGCAGGCCATGTGCATTTGGCTGCATGATGCCCAAAATGAGCAACATGGTCCCTGGCTCATGAAAAATGCGGCTACCAACACCTTTTACATTTTATGTGGATGTGGATCCTCCCCCCCCCCCCCCCAAAAAAAAAAAAAAACATAAAACCCCCAGAGAACACAAGTTTACTTTAATATGATACATGGCATACAGACATGAAACTTTCAAAGATCTTTCACTATCACCGATGCCCAGACAATGCAAACCAACAGTCCATGCGCATACAAAGAGAAAGTTAAATTGACCAGCAGAGGCAGGCGTCCACCTATGGATGCCATATAGAAAGCTCAATTTTCCTCTTACACCTTCAGAAACCACTAGAGTCTTGCACTTGATGTCCTAGTAGACTAAATCACACAATAAAAACTTAAATAACAAGCAGCAACAACATTTGAGAGTAAACTACAATTTGGCACCTCAAATGCAAGTTCGACTTAACTAGTGAGTATTTGAGCTGGTCCTTGAAACTAATAAAATATTCCTTCGGAAAGTGACCACGGGATGTTAGAAGGCCTAGCACAAACTATTATTCTTGGAGAATAGCTTGTACAGTCAATATTATTCTGCAACTAAAGCTAAATATACCTAACAAGTAAAAGACCAAATTTGTGGTTTACTCTAAATTAGAAAACTATTTGAGATCATATATTTGGGAATCATTCTCCACTTAAAATCTAATCTCAAGCACGTAACTAAAAAAATCACGTGGCGGACAACATAGCAAACTCTACTCAAATATACACTTGACAGTTTCATTCTCTTATTGCTATTATAAAAGGGAATCAAACAGCATAACCCCAGCTCTCTTCATCCCAATTTAAATTTGGGGAAACTACAATTTACTTGATGTTCGATTACAGAATGGAAGTACAATCTTTAAAAATGAAAACATCAAATTCCAGTTATTTAAGAGGAAAACGTAAACATAGGAGGCCATGTGATCCCTTGCAATCAATTTTAAAGTTTTTGTTTTCTGTCCTATAACAGTTTTATGATCAAACTACCATTCAAGGATCGAATGCAGTTTCCTTCAAATTTTGCAAGTTTAGAAGCAAAGAGGAACCAAAAGGTGAGTCCTTTACAAACCTTAAGCCGTCTGCACAATGTAAGAAAATCAATCACCGAGGAAGAGTTCGCAATCCCAGCTGAGGGAGTAGACTCTGAGAAGCCAACCGATCTCTGCGACCCCGACCCATGATCCGAACCGGGTGTCTGAGACCGCACCGAGACGAGTCTTGGGCTCGGTGTTGCGCCAAAGAAAACAGATTTCGTCAATAAGGAGCGATTGAAGAAGGCGAGCGCAAAGCGAGATGGCAGCGACTGATGATGCAAAGGCGAGGCGCAACGAACTGAGGAATTGGTCATCATCTTTGACAAGAATTGCGATGATTATTATTATTATTACTTCGAAATCTTGTTGATGAGAAAACAGAAGCAATGCTAAATAGCCGCCAACTACAAATTTTTAGGCACACTGTGGAGCGGTTTGGTAATGCCTTGGGAGTTGGGAATCCGGCGATACCGTGTTGTGCGTCACTTACTATTGCCGCTGTATCTGTGGGATACCTCGGTGACACAAGAAGCCAAATCGGAAATCTCTGTTTTAGCCCTGTTCGACCGGAATGTCCCCTTTCTTTTCCCAATATATGAACCTTAATAGGCCAAGATTATGATTAAGATAAAAACTAAATTATAATTTTAAAAATAATTTTAGGACATAAAAAATAAAGATATGAGAAGAGTTTTATTTTGACTTATATAAAAATACTTTTTAAAAGTATTTTTGTTAGAATCCAAACACCTACTAAATAAATTTAAAAAAATTACTAAGAAATTATAAAATTTATAATAATTTTTAAGTATTTGAATTATTATTATCAATTTTTTTCAAAAATTATTACCAGCTTTACAAAGTTTGGTTTTGAGTGTGTTTTCTAAAATTAAATCATGTTTTTTAAATTTAATAATGGGCTCATGATCATTTTAATTTTCAGATATCATTGTTATTTTTAGGTGTATTTAAGCTTCTTTTAAGCTATGTATGGTTACATTAAAAAGAGAAAAGATCATTTACTAAAAGGATAAAATACTTAAATACCTAGAAAATATCATGGAGGAGCACTTAGTACCTAAAATTTTTTTTCTACTCTTATATGTCTTTGGAAGTTTTATTTTTTAGCAGTTAGGTTTTGAACTGTGACCATTAAAAACACTGACCAAACTATATAATTTAACAATCAAATTTAATAACAGATAACAGCTAAAAAAAATTCTTCATGAATGTTGGGTGCTTCTTCATGAATATTTTTGAAGTATTTAAGTACCTTATCATTTTACTATAAATAATTTCAATAAAAATTAAAATTGAGAAAAGAATGAACATATATATTGAATACAATTTATTCAATAGCTATCTTATTGATTGGGTTAGATTCAAAGCCCAACTAAAAATAGCTCTCCTGGGTTCACAAAAATTCGAACTCCACCACCGGCTTCTTGGCCGAGTGGTGTGTGTGTGTTTGGATGTGTGTGCGGGTTCGAGCCCACTTCTTGTATCACCAAAAAAAAAAAGCGAACTCCAAATCTCACACTTAAAAGCCATCAAAATTCTTTCATTAAGAACGCCTGTTGGTACAATTTTCTTCTTATCATAAAGTCCATATATCCTGTCTTTCTATTTTAGTTTGTTCTGAATTTTTGGCTGCATTTTTGCTCATTGGCTTAGAAGGGAAAAAAAAAGAAAAAAGAACTTGCTTAAAACATTAAATCTTGACAATTAAATTTCAATCTAAGAGGGGTGCAGATGGGTAGAAAGGGAAAGTGAATGGAAAGGGTAGAGAAGAGTAGCCAGAGTAAAATTTAAGAATAACAAATTCGTTCTAAAAACCTTACTTCAAGTTTCTCTTATTGTACTAATACATGGCCATCATTGAAGTCATAATAATCACAGAGATACTGAATATTGCATGTGAGATATTTCTGCTTGGACATAAAAATAGAGATGGCTGATTAATTTAGGGCAGAACATGCATGCATATGAAACAAATACTGTTTACAAATGTAATCGCATGAAATAACTTGCCATTTTTTATTTAATAGTGCAGGCACAACAATATAATAAGCGTCCCTTGTTAAATAACATGAAAGTGAAACTTCAAATTTGAAAATACATATACACGTATATATTAGTCTCATGTTGTAATCATGCCACACAAATACTACTTTTTTCCGGAAATAACAAAAGGAAAGAAAATGCCTTAAAACAATACTCCTCGGTAATTAATATAAGATCTAATTAACTAATTAGTATATCAAAGATATTAGTTAAATTAGTTAATACAATATATATTTTTTAAACATCATGAGTATTTTTCTTAATTCCTTCACACTTCCTCTTATTTGATTATTGTTAGGAGAATATCAATATGGTTAATTTAAAGAATTAATAAATTTGTGAAATAAATTTTATATATAAGATCAACATTAACTCTACAATTTGATCCTACATTAAGGATGTGGCTTGTGGAAGATATAATGAGAACTCACAGGGTCATACTAAATACTCCTCCGTCCTAATTATAAGACCCAATTGACTTATTTGAGGAGATTAAAGAAGTAAGTTAAGTGGTTATTTATAATAAATAAGTGTTGTCATTCCTAAAATATCCTTGCTAATTAAGTATATTGGCTAAAACTATCATTATTAGAAGGATTATCTTGGAAAAAAATGCATAAATATAAGAAACAAATGGATTGGGTCTTATAATTAGGACCAAATAAAAGTCAAATTGGGTCTTAATAAGGACCGAGGAGTATAACATTATACAAATCATATCCCATAAGATTTCTTCCTTCAATTGCCTCTCCAAAAATGACTCTAGGCTCAACATTCATATCATGGATACTAAAGGCAAATTATGTTATAACTATTTTATTTGTGAATCAAAAGAGGCTTGTACACAAAGTGTGTGTGTGTGTGTGTGGGGGGGTGGGCGTAGTAATATTATAAGATTAATATAATAGTATGACGGTCCCATCATGATTTTGAACTAATACAACCTTGAGAAGCTTCATTAAAGAAAGCTAGCTAGATATATAGGAAGGAAAAAAACTAAGACACAAATTATTAGCAGCTTCAACATAAATAAAAAGCTTTTTTTTTTAATATATGAAACCATATCTAATGGCACTCTTTCAACTTGCTTCCATGACTTCTATTAGCTTGTTGGCTATGGCACTCGCGCACACAGAAGAACCTTCATATATCTGCGATATCTAGTAGGAACAAATCAGTCATACTTGCGCGGTCTTAATGGGTCAACTTCATAGGAAAATTAGGATTCATAGAACCATATATTCTCATCACTAACCTTGCTGTTGAACAAAAAGCTGCAGAAATCGCCAATGTGGCCACCAGCAACATGTTGGAGATCAAGCTCAAGTTCATCCAGAGCCTTGGAAGCATACAGCAAGCAGTTAGCGTTCTTTCTCTGAACAAGCTTGATTGTGACATCGTCATCAACGATTCGAACATCAACCTCTGTGTCTTCAGATTTCTTCTGAAGCCAAGCGCTCTTAATTATGCATCTATTGATTGGAAGAAGACGTTGATGATGATCTGGTTCACTGAGCGGCTTCAAGTTGCAGCTTTCCAAGTCCCCTAAAGCTTCTTCTTCTTGTTCTTCTTCTTCCTCCTCAACCTTTTGCCTCTTGATCCTTTCTTTCCCACATGATGATCTCTTTTTATTCACTAATAATGTGAGATTATGCACTGATCTGCGAAGCTCTTGGATGTACTCAATAGCACCACAAAGCAGAGATGCTCTATCATTCTTGATTTTCAGTTCAGACAAGGAAAAAGGGAAAAAAGATTGCCAACAAGAATCAGCCGTTTATGCATGAATTTGTACTTCAGAGAGAGAGAGTAGAGAGATACTGCAATGTAGACAAGCATATTTGACCAAGTAATGATCTCACTAGTATTGGATTGATCTATGATACTTGGCAGGGGAGGAAAAAAATGCATTACCTTGGTGGGATTTGGGATGAGCTCTCTTAAGGCATCAAATTTGCTAGTAAAATCCACTCTCCTTTTCTTCTCAATAGTGACCTGTCTGACCCTTTTGCCTCCTGTTCCTCCTCCTCCTCCCTTTGATCTGCTATTAGGAGCCAAATCGTGGGAAAACTTGAGGAAATCATTATTACTATCACCAGATTCTCTTCCACGACCAGCATTTAAATATGAAACAACCCCACTCCCTTCTTTGTCATCCTCCCCACCAAACATCAGAAGATCATTTCGTGCAGGAAGAGATTGAAACCACTCTCTGTTTGCTGGACAACCTGCAGGCAGGTTCATTTGCAAAAAGGGATCCTGCAACAAAAGAGAGGACACGCTTGTGTTTTCCAATCCCAGTGTTGGGTGGCCAGAAGGATTAATCTGAAGTTCAAAATTCTTCAGGGTAGCTGGGTTTCCTAAAGAGATCAAGGATGTTGAGTTGACAAATGAAGAAGTGGAAGAACTACTGGGCAAGCTGCAGTGAAGATTACAGTGATGAAGATCTGCTGTTAAAGGGTAAGGAGGCAGTTGATGTTGAAGCTGATGATGATTTTGGTGATGGAAGTTCACATCAGGGTCCCATTTAGACTGGTCAAGGGAAATTACTAGCTGATTCGAGTCATGATGAGTTACCTCTTCCATCAAATTGGAAATCATAGCGTCTTGTGAAGCGAAGGCTAAACTTTCCATAGAAAGACCCACATTCTCTGGAAAGCTAGGGTTGTGAATGTGTGAGGCGATAGAAGAAGAAGCGATTTGGGAGAAGCAGTCTTCTGACAACAACGAGTCCGTTCCTGCAGAAAACCCAGCTGTCGCCTCTTCGTACATTATTTCGTCTCTTTTGTTGAGAAAGGTTGTTATCAATTTCTCTGCAATAGACGCAGAAGAGAAAACACAAAAAAGGGAAAAAACAAATAGCAGAGATTCATAAAAGCACTAGAAAGTAGACACTAATGAACCGGGCAGAGAAATAAAGATGAGTAAGCATGAATTCAAATAAAGAACACAGAAGATTGGAGAAACCTGATAACCGGAAAACGCTTCCTGAATGTATAAAACCATTTCCTCACACAAAATGCAGAATATATATATATATATATATATATAAAGGTCAATTATATTATCCCTGTGTGTCTGTGAGAGAGAGAGTGAAAGAGGCAGGGAGGAAAGGAGAGAGAAGGTAGTTTCAGTTACATGGGCCCCCACAAATGATATTCGAGCTCCTGTCCGTATAGCATTAGCGCCATATCCTTACCCGCACTCTCCTCTCTGTAAATCATCCTAGTGTTAATGTAATTTTTTGTTCATGAATTTTGGATTTATTTTAATTTTTGTTTCTTAAATTTAAAACTTATAATTTAATCTATCTTAAAATATTAGTCCATAAAGTTATAATGATGTTAAAATCTATTGTAACATTATGAACAGTGTTAAAATATCATGTGGACTCACTAGACAACAACAACCAGCTGCATTTTATATGGATAATAAAATGATTATGTAGAGAGGGATGAGTTTTCAAAACGTGAAAAAGGAAGGAGAAGAAGAGCTAAACAACTATGTTTTGAGGACATGTTCTTTTTTTTTTTTCCTTTTTTATCTACGTGAAATTTAGCTCGTCTAATGAGTTTATATTACTACTTTAAGCTGTTTTCACATTCTAACATATTTTAGCACTCTTACATCCCCAGGATTAGAATTTTAAAAACTAAAATTATAAAATTAAAATTTGAAAAATAAAAAATAAAATAAACTTAAATTTTAAGAATAAAAAATTATATTAACTAGAAATTTTCAGAAATATCTTGGCACGATCAAGTTCAAGTATTCTCTAGGAAATTGTCAAAATAGCCTCTTTCGTTTTTGACCAAAAAAAAGAAGCCTTTTTCGTTGGGCAGGGAGGAGGGGAGTTTCTGTTACATGCTGCAGAAATATTGGCGTCACATGGGCCCCATAAAATGATCCGTTCCGTACGTATTCTGATACGATGCTGTCAGTACGTCGCCGCATTATTATCCCTTCCAGTGCCACATATTCCTAATTTGTTTTTTTTGAATTATAGATAATACAAATATTTTAAAATTTATAATGTTTAAATTGATTTTTATACATGTCTTCTAAAGTAGAAGGAAATATAATTAAGATAGAAATAGAATAGAGGAGGGTCAATCCATTTGACTCCTTTTCTTATCATTTACTTTATCTCTTTTCAAATACTCTTCTTTTTCAATTTAATTAAAAGGCATACCATAAATTTGTTAAAAGTTTAACATACTAAAAATTGGGCAAGAATTTTTTTCTTCGTTCTACCCATTAGGAATATTCATATATTATGGTTAAAACCCTAATGCATCTTAATCAAAATATAATCAAACAATTAATATATTGAATCTGAATCATTATCCATCACCCACTGTATTATTAGGGACGGAATTTAGTTAGTGATAGGATTTTTCCTTCATTGCCACATCATCTTCTCATTATTATTATGGTTATTTTCATTACTAATTTCTTGTTTTTTTTTGTAGTGTAAGCATCTTATTATATATGTATCACACCTTAATTATTATTTATGATTAGTCAAATCATCATTACTACTATATCTTACAAATCAATATGTCATTCAAAATTTTCCTTTTTTCTTCTTCCTTTATCATCATCCTTCGATTTCTTGCAATCATTTTCATCCTCAAAATCCAACAGACAACATTGTGCCTATACTTATAGATTCATTGCATGTCTGAATAATGCAGTTATAGATTCATCAGACCTTTCAAATGCTTCTATATATTTTTATTTTTATCTCTTCCAAAAGGATAAGAAAGCAATAAATTTGCATTTTGTTTTTGGCAGAGTTCATCCACCAAGTAAATCCTACACGCACACATGTGCATTCTTCTAAGGTGCATGTCTGTTATTTTGTATTTTGTATATTAATTAACCAGAATTAACCATATATAAGCATGCTTATTGGATAATATGAACCATGATTAGAATTATCCTAACCCATGACGTGGAAAATGATTAAATCCCACAATAATATCCTATCCCTTCACACAAAATCCACTTTCCCTGAAAGAGACATTATTGATATTATTAATTTTATGAACTATTTTGCATGCTCAATATGCCTATAAATACAAGCCATCCCTAAAGAACATGAACTCCAAACTTTATACACTCAAAATATATACACGAAGTTCTTCTTCGAATCCTGAAGAACATGGTGACTAGTTTTGCAATAATGATCATCAGATTTTGTATTCAACTATTCAGCATCCTCTTCAACTGCTTCAAGCTAGCTTATCACCATTTCAAATGGTTCTTGGAATTTCTTACCTACAGCCCATTTTACAGCCTCCATGTTCATCATCACCATCTGCCTCCTGAAGAGTCGTTTCAGATTGTTGCAGAAGAACGGGTCGAGATATGGCGTCCTCGTGAAGGAGAAGAAGAAGTGGATTGTGCAGTGTGTCTGAGCAAGATTGGTGAAGGAGATGAAGTTAGGGTTCTGAGATGTGAACATGTTTTCCACAGAAATTGTTTGAATCAGTGGGTTGGATTCAGGAACTTCACTTGTCCTCTTTGTAGGGACTTTCTGGGTTCTGGGATTAGAAATGTTGTTCATGGTGATGGAGGAGGAACACATGTGATTTTCTTTAGGTTTTCTTCGTTCTTTGAGGATAATTCTGAGCGTGAGAACTGGTGGCTTCGGTGAGTTTTGGGACAGACCAAAAGCAGTATCAATCTAAATATATGTGTAATCATGATACGTATGGTGAGTTGTAAAATAAAATTAGTATATATTAATCTTTAAATTATTAATCATGGCTCTGAAACGTATTATATGTTTGATTTCTTTATTTTTATCATACACAGCCTTTTTTTCCCCTTTCCTCACACAAAGGGCTTCACACACACACACAACTATGCAGGTTCAAACTTTAATTTTGACATCTCATTTTTAATTTTATATAATTAAATACATGAACGCATACAAACATGTTAACGTAAAATTTGAGCCTATAATTTCATCTAAACATGGTGGGTAATGTTGCTATTGAAAACTTGCTGACATCCTCATACTTGAGGACCGTATACGCCATTATGCCCAACGGCTTAAGCTATTTATTTAAAACTCAGATTTAATTATGTTTCTTGTACCAAAGATTTAATTATGGTTGATTGTGTCAAGGATTAGTTAACACTTTTGTTATTTTTTATTAGGTTAAGAATTTGTTGTACATTTCTGTTATGTATCAACCAATATTAGTTGAATATTTCATGTATAATTACTTGTTCTACAGTCATGAAAAGGAAGAATTTCTTTTGCCCGAGTGCTTTGGTCACAGCATGGATCAGCTGGCACGTAGTCCTCCTTAGTGAGACGAGCAAGCGGGTTCGATCCCGCCAGCGACGAGTGCAAGTGTTGTGTTTTCCTTCTAACCAAAAAAATATTTTGGTTACATGGTATCTAGAGTCACATAAAATTCTCTATTTTCCTTTTCCCTTCTTACTCTCCATCTTCTTTCTTTCTTTTCCTTCTTGTCCTTTGTTTCCTTCGACTTTTTTCTTTTCACTTTCCATTCTTTGGGGGTGTTTGACTATTGTCACTTTTTTACAAATCAAAATAAATTCCTCTATATTTACTTCAGATACCATAAAATCATTTTTAAAATCATAATTTAATTTTCATCCAAATACTCCATGAATGGCCTCCGATTCATCCTCTGCCATTGATCAAACTAGCCCCTATTACATACACTTGAACAAAAACCCAGTCCTTTGTAAATTTTATTGGGTAACAACTCAAATAATGTGTCTGTTTTCTTGGGTTGTACTAACGAGTCTAAGTGGATTTTCACCACTTAGTCGCGCGGCTGTATGAGGCCTACATAAAGAGAGGCTCTTAGTCTTTGATAAACGACATTTTTATAATTATGACCAAAACAAAATTGTCATCAAAGCGTACAAACATATTTGATTAACTAAAAAGAGTTTTTTGTTGGCTAAGAAATATATTTGCACAATTAAGCCACCTTATTATCACCTTCATGATTTATGATTGGTATAATCATTATCGTGTCTTTCAATCAATATATTATTTAAACTTTTCCATTTTCCTTTCTTCTTCCTTTCATCCCCAGAATCCAACAGACGACAACGTATACCTAATTTAGATGGATTGCATCTAATTAAAGATATTTTATGGGGCCTGAATCCAGTTATAGATTTAGACCTATCCATGCATGCATCTTCTTTATTTTTAATCTATTTCAAAAAGATATGAATATATATTTACTTTTATCTGTCAGCAAAAAATCGAATGAATTTGCTATTATTTAATATTAATTAATATTTATATTGCATTGGTATTGAATTTCATAGATTAATAATCACAGACTGTTAGTGAAGGTCTCTTTCTCACATCCATCAATTGCTGGAAAAACTTCTAGTTCTTAATATAAGAATTAGTTGATGTTTAGGTTTGGTTCTAAATTAAAAAAAAAAAAAACTCAATCCATTCTATCCCCCATATTTATTTTTTTTTAAATTATTCTGATTGATTGCACAAGTCAGGAGAGTTTGCATCTATGGGTAGTTTCAATGCAAATTATTTAAGAAAATATTTTAAGTAAATCAACATATATTTTTGACAAATAACTAGTTTAATTTTTTTAAAAAAAATTATTCAAATTAGTTAAATAGTTCTTATGTTACGAATATAATTAACTAGCTCTTCTATTAAAAATAAGAGGTAGTATAACTAAAGTTCCTTTTCCTTTGATTTTGTAACCGAACATGTACGGCCTTTCAACAGTTAGGGTTCAACTAAAACACCCTTGAACGCGTTACAGGATTGACTTTTTTTTTTTTTAATGTCCTTTCTTGATTTTTTGTAAGATAAAAACCATATTCCCTTTTGTCCCAGACGTAGAAGATAAATAATTAATTTGTAAATATTAAAAAAATTAATTAAATTTTTTATTTGTTGCAAATGCATGTTAGTTTTTTTAAAATATTCTTTTTAATCATTTGCATTGAAACTATTCCTTAATGAAAACTCTTTTAACATGCATAATCAATATAATTAGTTTGAAAAAAAATTATAAAGTGAAAGATAAAGTGACACCATCTCAATAAAAATTATTTTAACACCGGATTGGAGAGATGAATTTAAGTAGCCAATTGGGTTTGGTAAGCCTTCATTGGACGGATCTTTTTCTGCCTCTTTAGGTGGATCGACCTGCCCATTGTACTTGGTTTTATTTAATAAAGTTTGGCCCCAAAAAAAAAAAAAGTGGACTGAAATATACTTACAACCAAAATAGACTGCCAAACTAATTTGTACATTTCGGATTGGAGGATGTATAATGTGACAATTTATCATTTAATAAGGGCCTATAAGAGGTGAGCTCAGCCCATTTAGTAATTTTATTGATTTGTTCTGTCCTAATTTTAGGTCCAACCCCTTATTTATTATGGGCTTAAAAGGGTCACCCTCATAGTTGGGCTCATTTTAACAAGTCTCAGAAATCTTCCGCAGTATTGCGGGGAAGTGCAACCCACGGTCTAGGTGAAGTGCCCTGCTACATGGCATAAGACATTTTGAGTTCGGTCCTCAGTGACATGTGGTTCATTTTTGTTGTGAACTATGGATTATATGCATCAAACTAGTATCAGTTCCACTGGCCTGGATCAAAAAGAAGAGGCTAGTCGTGTATTATTGTGAGGAGAGAGGGCGAAGTACCCTGCTACTACATGGCATAACACATTTTGAGTTCGGTCCTCAATACGAATCTTGTCATGTGGTTCATTTGCGTTGTCAACTATGCATTACATGCATCAAACGAGTGTCAGTTTCACTGGCATGGATATAGCAGAAAATACTAATATTTTATTATTGTGAGGAATGGGGTGGACTACCCTGCTACATGACATAAGATATTTTGAGTTCAGTCCTTGATGCGGGGATCTTGTTATCTTGGTCACTTTTGTTGTCATTAGGACAATTATAGATTATATGTATTGTAATATCCTAATTTTCATATCCCTAAGATTCAAGTAAGTTTTTATTAAGTTAGAATAGATAGAGGTTAAATATATATAAGTAATTAAAATAATTAAAATCATATGTATTTGCATATGTGTATAAACATATGTATGAATAGATGAATAAAATAACAATATTAAGAAGTCCCATATTAACTAAATAATGAAATGATAGATAAAATACCAATATTGAGAAGCCTCATATCGACTAAATAATGGGTAGCTAGAACTCTTGGAAACTATATATAAGTGGTAGTACAGGATAATTAATAGTAAGTTAAATAATTTTCTCACAAAACTGAGACAGTCTTAGAAAAATGTTTGTGAGTTTGTGAATCGTTGGATCGGGCTTCAATTTGGTCAGTTGGTTTTGGACTTCATACTCATCGATTTTAATGATTGGATCATCAATACAATCTCTCAGGTACAACTTATTATGTATGTTTTAGACTCATTTTTTTAAATCTTGTAAATATAACCCGGAATAGTAAATTATCTTTTTAAATATTTTCACCGTTGGATCGGGCTACAATTTGGAGAATTGATTTATGACATCTAAGATTTTAAATTCAACAGTAGGATCAATAATTAGACTCCTTTAATAAGAATAACTTAACTAATATTAAATCTGTTTACATGATATTTTCAAAGACAGAATATAAGTTACGAATTGGGAATTCCCTATCTAAGTTATGAATTTGGTGATTCTAATAGTATAATTTAATAATTACAAGATAATATAAGTTAAGGGAACTTAGGAATTGAATCTAAATCCTCATATATATTCCTACTCCAAACCTTAGAGATCCATTCAAGCTGGAATTCTAAGTAACAGTTGAAGATCTTAGAGGAGGAGTTAGAGGCTAGAATTTTGTGGATAGTTTACTTTAATACTGTAGAGATAGTATTTTAATTTATTTGTAGATATAAACCCTATTGTGGTATTTTCAAGTTCGGGCCTTATTTATATTTGACTGTTATTTAGGAGACAAGATAACTAAATTTCTATCTATTGTATACTCTGGTATGAAGTCGGTGAGTGGTTTTATAACCAATTTTTATATGTGCATATTATGTTTTATATGAACTGTCTTATGGGATGTCATTTTGAAAAGAGTTGAAATCATTTGTGTTGTTAAAAATTAATAATTATGACTATCATGTATTATTCTAGAGTTTGTTTGATTATGCATATAAATATGTTATTGTGAACCTGTGCATCTAGTGTGGTTGGAGGAGGAGAAGATTGGAGTATGTACATATATGCATGCCACGTGGTATTGACCATTAGATGAAGTTCTATAATTGGCCACTATTATTATCCTACTAGTTTTTTGAGGGACTACGACATCTTACTAATTCTTCAAGGGGGACCCATTGTCCACAGAGTACTCTGTATTTTTTTGCCAGTCCACATCACTTGTGTGGTGAGCTTGTGAGAGTATTCAGTCAAATGGAAAGAACTTAGCTCATAAGTCTAGTCAGTTTAAATAAGGAGGATATAAATATGGATTTGGGTTCATTGACTGCATATGACATGAAATCTTCATTGATATTTATGTCTTTTGGATAAATGAAAAGTATGTTATCCCTTATCATATTATCGACTGCATGAGACTGGGTGAAAGATATGATTTATATAGTCATTATAAATTTAACTATTAAATAAATGATTATTGATTTATTAACTTTGTGTATCCCCTTCTCACCTCGCTAACCCATGTTTGCGTGTGTGATAGGTAAGGATTTAGTTATTAAGATATTATCTCATCCCTATTATTTAATATTTTTCAGGTGAAAGCTTTAGAGAAGACACGTCAGGGAAGGCTCAAGAGGAGTAAAGATATATTAGCGACTTGTAATGTCTTCTCGATTTATGAGTTATATTGTTTCTTATATATTACCACCTTAGGACAAAATAATGTTTAATTGATTCATACATTATTAATATGCTTTTGTGTCCTTTGCTTTGTACTATTGTGCTATACATGCTGGTAGTTGGCTAGAAGCCTAGGATTGCATATGATTTGTTTATTATGAATTTATTATAAAATATGAATTAATATTCAATTCTTACTTTTTTGATTTATAAGCTATATAATATATTGTTTTATAACCATCTTAGCTAATATTGATCCTTTATTACATGGTTTGTATTTGAATAAGTTAAGAAAAAAATTTTTATCAGTGATAGAATGTATGATTGGGTGCTGCTCTTTTCTATCATGGATAACATTATTATATAGTTAGTTTGTTTATATGATTGTGATATAAGTTAAGTTTGTTGTTAATATGGTTTGGTTATAAAAAATTATTTCTTAAAATTACTA